GGGGGTTGGGGGGGGGGGGGGTTCGTTTTCCCCCTCTGTGAAGAAACGTAACAAAATACTATGGGTCCTGGCTTACAAAATTCATGCTAATTAGACGCGGATCCACACTGTTATTTTGAAGGAGTTATTTTAACTCCAAAGGAGTTATTCTGTACCTAAAAAAAGGTACAGAATAACTCCTTTCCAGTTAAAATAACTCCTGTCTCTTATACACATCTAGATGTGTATAAGAGACAGATATATATACATATATATATAATTTTTAATAGTTTACATTTTTACATAATACAGATTTTATTTGCAACCAAACTCTCGCAAATATGCAAAAGTTGTCCAACTACAGAATGTGGCAATCTGTCCACGTTCGGATAAGCTGCTCGCACACCACACACAAACCATGAACTAACGTGTTCACGCCCTCACTCATGGCCACGCTCGAACGTAGAAAACCTACTATGTACACGCTGACAAAGTGTTGACATACGTAGACACGACTATTGTGATACAACTGTACATACACAATTTGAATGTCCACTCTGTGACTTGAGAATCACAAACACACACACGAAACAATGTCAATATCAAATATATGTATATAAAGCTCAATAACATACCGTAGCAAATGTCTTTAGACATACTCTAAGTATGTACATACTATTTTAAAGATATAACTTTTTTAATCTTTCGATTATTTGGTCCACTGTACAAGTATTCAATAAATTTACAGTTTAAATCAACATTAATATAGAGGTAAAGTATATCGAATTAGGCTTCTTAAAATGGCATTTATACAACTATTAATACATTAACATCACTTTAATCTTTAAAAGATCAAATATATCCTATCTACAATGACACCGCGTAGTTGAGCCTACCATCAGCCTCTTGATGAAGCACCACTTCAACACATAAAGTTGGAAACTGTGTACAGTATAATTATTGATTTGAAAGTATACGTCGTTCATGTACAAACACGTCGTGTGGGCTTAACATTTTATACAGCTGTGTCGATCTGCACATCGCAATAACCGCTATCTAAGAGGGTAACATGGCCAATTTTAAACTCGTTTTCTTTGTCCGGCTCGACAGTATTTAGCAAGTTTCTGTCAATAAGTGGCGTATTAACTTCGGGTGGTTTCTCAACTTGCGTGTTACTGTTGGCATCTTTTAGAACCATAGGTCCGTTGCTCAGATGAGGTGAGTTTTCAAGAGACCCATTAGGTCGACTGTGTTCTTGCAGTACACAGTTATTCAAGTCTCTGCGGCGCGTATTTTGTGGCGTTGTGTTTGAGTACTCCGTCATAGAAGTGTGCGTTAGCGTACTGTTACGTGTGTATTTGCTGCGTCTCGACTTTCGGTTCACGGTGTAGTTAAACCACCTCCGTATAATTTGTGCCTTAACCTATATGACATAATCCAGGAAAAAACATGAAACCGTGAATCAGATACGGGTGGAATAGTAATCGCGTTCACCTACATTTTTGTTACAGTAATAGTAAATTATATATGTGTTATTTAATGATAGGTCTACTAAACGAATGCTACTGTACTTCTTTTTTTTTAATTGTAACTGTTTGGGTAGAAACAATTTATATAATAAAATATAGTAAAATATTTAAATTCATTACAAAAACGAAATACAGTAACTAAAACTTATAAAATGTTATACAAATATATGAAATATACAAACATAAAACATAGAAATAGGAATATTGACAAGAATTGGTGCCACTAAACACCACTAAGACACATAATAATAATAATAATAATAATAATAATAATAATAATAATAATAATAATAATAATAATAATAATAATAATAATAATAATAATAAGGCCAAAAAATGTATATTTGACAATTATTTTAAATGTAAATGACTAGTTGGTCTAACTATGCAAAACAATGAATAAAAAATAAAACTTCTATATTACCATATAACTATAGAACATCTACTAAGTATTACTAAACAGTAGCAAAAGGCCTATAGAACATATCAAAGCAACACTATAACTATATTAGTTGCAGATTCTTAGCGAGCAACATACAAGAATATATTAGAGTAGTTTAAAAGAAGTAAAATTTAAATGAAAGAAATAAAGTAAACAGAAATGTTGTTAGTTTATCATTATATTATCACCTGATTGTGCAAAGAAAAAAACATGAGATCAGAATAGTTTTTTTGAGTTAAGCCAAGTGAGGGAAACGCGTCGAAAGAAAGTATTGGTAACTCCTTAGCAACGCATCATTTACCTCGGCGTTGAAGAAACAGAAGATACAGGCGACGAAGAAACCCTATAATAAAATAAAATAACAATAATAATATATCACTTTATTCAAAAATTATAGATACATGCTGAATATGCGTCATGTACAATTTCTGCTTAAGTCATGTATACTCGATACATTTTGAAAAATATACTGAATAACATTTGGAACAAACTTGCTTATACATGTAAATTTGTAGTAGAAATTGATGCAAGAGAAGTACTATTGACAGACCATGGATGTATACCTGACAGAACGCAAGAAGAACTAGATTATGAAATACATTAACGATATAATAATATACCTGCGTTTGTTGCACCAAGCTATGATTTTGTTTTTAAATATCTGTGTTACTAAAACGTTTCCTTCTGTGTTTTAAGTCGGTCGTGTCGCAATCATTCGACATTTAAAGAAATACAACTAAATTACCCATAGAACATAATCTTATTGACCTATATCTGCTCGACAAAATGTCTACTTTTTTGACATACGCGATGTGTTATATTTTGATTCGATATTATACCTACTTTTCGACGACACATGCAGTAACATAATGTAAACATACTGGTATAGAGCAAAAGAAAATCACTAACTCTCTTCAATATCATAGCTGGATAAAAATACAAGAAATTTCCTATTACGTCTAGAAAAACAAACCATCTGAAAGATTTTAGATGGAGTTTTTGAACCTACAGTATAAAACAGTCTCAAAGAATAAACATGTATACGGAATAGGGGAAGTCGTGAATATAGGTCGATAATTATTATAAAGCCTTGTTTATTGGCTAAGGTGCAACGCCGATTAGAAAAAGTATAGTGGCAGTATGACGTCAGCATAGAAAATAGTCAGAAGTAGACCTGGTATGAAATTACTTGAAACCAGCCTCACCAGTATAACATGATGTCAACCTAGCACGCAACTACCCAGTTCAATCGCGGATCCAGGAATTTAAAAAAATAGGGGGGGGGAGTGAGGGGCTGACCCCCACTGCTACTGGAACCACTCTCACCTGTATAGCATGATCTAAGTCTACCATGCCACTACTGGGGGATCAGCCGTATTTGTATACCATGATGTAGGTCTATAAAACTACCAGAGAGCAAACCTCAGCTGAATATGATGTAGGTCTGGCTTGCAACCATCAGAGATCCAACGCCCACCTGATCAACCTCAACTGTATAGCATTGGTTTGGCACGCACGAAATTACCGGGACCAGCCTCGCCTTTATAGCATGGTGTAGGCTGACATTGAACTACCAAAGACGAGAACCAATCACCATATGTAATTTCATGCTATAGCAAAGGAAGCAGAAGAATGAACTTTCGGAGATCAGTTAAATGTGCCCAAGTTCGTTAGGCCCTATGCCTAAATAATCAGGAGGTGCCTCAGATCATACGGTGTAGGCTGCAATGTTCTTTTGAGATTACTCGACAGCAAAGTGAAAAGTATAAAAGTATATAAATTCCTAACCTCCGTAATAAATACTTAGGCCTATGTAAATTGCTCCTTCGTGCTGAGTACCGAATCCATAAAAACAAAATGTCTGATCTGACAGAATTAAGAGGTTCGAACATATACAATAATTTTTAAGAAACAATAGTTTTCTTTTATACTTAACAGCGTTTCATTTGTCCAAATTCAATAATATAACTGCATAATATGTAGGGCGAATATTGTAATCAAACAGTAAGATTTAATACAAATTGGATCAATGTGAATTAAAGTAGTAGTTGCAATAAATCATTTATATTTACTTGGATTGATAGACACACCGCCATGAAGTAACTGTAGAATACACCGTTTTTAATACGCATCGGCATAATGATGTAATGTAGACCAAGGAGAGGTACTAATATCAACGTTGCTCGTGCCGCTCTCCTGTAAAATGAACATAAACAACAAAATGTATACTAAATTTTCAAGAGCTTATAAAATTTCATTCACCTATTCGCGACGTTCATAGAATATTGTATATTTGTTTATAACTTTACAATATATTACATTACAGTAAAGGAGAACTGTATAGTGCGTAAAAGGAATCCGAGGTAACTAATCCTTGAATGATTGATTTTCAATCACACTCACTGTTGCGGAAACGATCGCCACTGTACCTGGGTATTTATGCAGGACTAAGTTAGGGGTCTTAAACTTGATATAGGTTTGTGGCGGTTACTGCCAGGGCTCTTAATTTGGTAAAAATGTTTGGCAGTGATGTAGCTGTTGCTGTTCGGGCTCTAAACTTGAGGTAGGTTTTTGCCAATGATGTAGCTGTTGCTATTAGGGCTCTAAATTTGAAGTAGGTTTTTGGCAGTGATGCAACGTTTGCTGTTCGGGCTCTAAACTTGAGGTAGGTTTGTGGGTGGCAGTGATGTAGCTGTTGCTGTCAGGACTCTACTTGAGGTAGGTTTGTGGCAGTGGTGCAGCTGTTGATGTCAGGGATCTATACTTGAGAGGTAGATTTGTGGCAGTGATGTAGCTGTTCTGCCAGGGGTCCTGATTTGATGAAGGTTTGTGGCATCAGTGATGCAGCGGTTGATGTTCGGGGTCTAAACTTATGTTGGTTTGTGGCAATGATGTAGCGGTTGCTGTTTGGCCTATTAACTTGAGGTAAGTTTGTGGCAGTGATGTAGCGGTTGCTGTTAAGGCTCTTAATTTGATGTAGTTAGCAGCGCTGCAGCGTTTGCTATACGGGCTCATATTTCGATGTTTGGTGTAGCGGTGCAACATGCTTCTCGGCTCCTAAACTTGAAGTCAGAGCAGCGTTTGCTGTTCAAATTAAGCCTGGTTTCTTAAAAATGCACTGCAATCATTACACTGAGTAGTTAGTTGTTCTCGACGCAATCGAAAGTTTCTCCGATTCGATCGACTAATCAGCGTTGCTGTCAGTAGTTAGCGATAGCGTGTAGTGATTTTAAAGAAACCAGGATGAAGGATATGACACTGTTACTTTGCTTATGAATGGTTTTAATTAATATTGAGTATGCTATTGGAATAAAGTTATTCAAATGGCAAAAAGGTGTTGCTCTATTGCCAGTGGAGCATATGTGGCTGCACATAAGTACATGCTCTTTAAGTAATTATGAAACGTTTATTCAACAGTAACCAGGATTTGAAGGCTTTACCTGTAGCTAGAGTTGGCGCTGTTGTGAGTGTGCTGCAGCTTAGATACAAGCACTCTGAGGATGTTGAGGAGCATCAAGAAATTGACCTGCAAGTAGACACATGAAGAAGTATTTACACACCGTAGTAATTTCAACAAGGAAATTCATATTTTATGTAACGTAAATATTTTTCTTGCATATACTTTTGCATTTCTTTTTCCTACCGTATATACTTAGCTATTTATTTTATATAAATATGAACCGAATTCATAAATAACTTTATACATGATAGAGTGTTACGTTTGAAAACCTTTGGCAAAAAAATAGTTATTTGGCTTTATTAACTAATCACAACATTTATATTCAAACGTTATGGTGAGTGCCGCGCATATACAAAGGTGTCCTCAAACTACTAAAGCTGTGTAGGCCCTATAGGCCTACCACTTTGCAATACCGTATACATGGAGAATTCAAAGGCGGCAATCAGTAGCCGACCAGCTCTTCCCACTCAAACGTGTTGAAAAAAGAAAACATTTAAGTTTTAGATTACCATTTTGCGCCCATTACAAGGGTTTCATAGCCATAACGGTTTTTTAACGTTTTTTTTTTTCACCTAAGCCCCATCCATGGTTTAGCTGAGGTACCGTAGTCTGGATCTTCATCTGTAAAAGTCTCTTCCGGGGCCCCTTTTACTTCGAGTTCTAGACTAGATATACTTTATACGAATCCGAGTTATAAATAGTATGTATACTCACAACTAGGACAGCAATTATTGGAACTGCTAAGATCCAGTCCAGAGAAGACGGATTAGTCCAACATACATTGCTACAAAATACATTATGTAGGAAATGCAAATTGAATTAATATACATATTAATAATATTATATCCTAATAACATACATACCAAGTCTCACGCATTCGCATTCGGCGTGAAACTCACGCATTTGTGGTATGTCTCATGTTCTCATGCATTGAGACCAAAATCTCGCGCAAATGTAATGTCTAAATTTAAAAATACATGTCTCTCTCCAAATAAAATACCCTCCAATAAGACCACCTACAATTAAAGATTCACTTCTGCGGGACCGGTTGAATGCCCATCTTTTATCATTAGTTGTTCTCTCCAATTAAAGATTCCTTCTATTTAGAGACCAAAGACTACGGTTATGGCGGGCCCAACTGAAAATTTCCCCCCACTTATAGACCACTATAAAATAAATAGTGATGGTAATACAATTTTTTTCTGTAATACCTTGTGTTACAGAAAATATTAGCCAATACACTGTTTTGTGTGCAGTGTCTTGTGTATATTGAAACGATACTATTAGTGACAATGTTAGTACTATTTAGTGAAAAAACAAGTTGGATGTCTGGCTACCATTTAAACTGTTTTATTAAAAACTTGAGGGCACTCTGAGAGTGCATACCTCCGCCCACAACATAATTCTCCTTTGTATAAATTTCCCAGGCATACTGTCCCCATGAAAAAATGTATTCAGTGCAGTGCTGATGCTTAAATGGCTTGACCGGTAATAAGACGTTATGTTTGCACGGACATTGAAATAAAAGATAATGAAAAAACCCCGAAATAGACATTATGGAATTCGAACCCGGTGTCGGTAGTGTGGAAAACACAGTGGCGTAACTACCGCAGGTTCAGCAGGTTAATTGAACCTGGGTCCCCAAGCTCCAGGGGCCCCCAAGCTCCAACGGCCCCGATCTATAAAAAACAATCTAAAAAAACCAATATAGGCCTAGAAAATCAAATCTAGATTGATAGCATTTATCTTTATATAATACTGCATATCATAAATTCAAATTGTTAAAAATAATCACTTACGCCTATCAGTGGCTTAACTTCCACAGGTTCAGGCGGTTCATTGAAACTGGGCCCCCGATCTACAATGCCCCCTTATAGTATAATATAATGAAGCAATGCATAGAAAAATATTGATTTATAATATTGAATACTGAACTTTATAATTTAAAATTGTTAATAACTTAACTTTAAAATAATTAAATATAGGCCCTATGCCTAGGCCCCTATGCCTAGTTTTAAAAATTGTCACTTAAACGTCGATCATCGTGATGGATGGAAATCCACAGTGAAACAGGTTATCTATGCATGCATATAAGCCGTTATAATATATATTACCAACAAATATCCCTTGGCAGTAAAACTGTCCTTTCTTTTGTAAAGACGCCGCTGATATTTGCTGGGGCGTTTGTCCCTGTATCCTGACCAGTTAGTACTCACTTCACTTTAACCTGCATTAGTCATAGTGTACTTATATGGCGTGAGACTTACGCTTTCAGGCCTTATCCCTATCTTTGTGAAATTTAATTCTTTTTCCAATATTTCATAATAGAATATGCAGTTTTATAGTTTCACGTAAAAGTCTGCTTGAATTTAGATTTCCCGAACGATAGTGTCAGTTATTTTTTCATTATTGCAGTTCACTTGCTGTCGGCATAGTCCTATTAGCAAATGGTGGCTAAAGTTCAGGTTTTTAAATTTTCAATTTAAGACAATTTTCAAATTTTAAGCCGTTTTCTTGTATCGCTATTTCACATTTTGTCACTTATTGTATTTTTATACCATGATATAGATTCGAAATAAAAACAACAATTTTTAAGTCTTAGACCCCCCCCCCCTTCAGACATCCGCACCTTTCCCCAACCCAGTAATGTTTCAAGCCGAATTAATAAGATAAAGTCGTACCAGACTGTCTTTTATGCCAAATTCAAATGATACTGTATAGTTTATTTTATTCTGTAGATTTTATTGTATTGTGGAGCTCCTCGGAAGGGCTGTGTTTTTTGCTAAGATTGCTACTCTACAGACATAAAATGGAATTAGTAATTAATATTCCTGCACTGAGGACTAAGATATACGGTAGGATTGTTCCCGGCGGATCATGACTTTATATAAAAAATAATAAATTGTACAGCACTTGATTTCATGGGTTCGTGACCGGAATGATGTTAGACGGGGGATGGTATTAGTATGGATAACTTCAGAAAAAGTGCAGTAATTTATAATTTATGCGTCAAGGGCCCTCAGAACCTTGTTACGCTACTTGGAAAGCATTCTTATAGCCACTAAACAAAACTGTTTCCACATGAATCGCTGTAAAATTAATGCCACTATATTTTGTTACACTTATTCGGCAAACCCCGTAGGCACACAAACGCATGTCCATACGGCAGACAGTTAAACATTAGTTTTCGTTCATTGCGCCCTTGACCTTTGACCCTAACCCTTAAAAATTTAGTCACTTCCAGATCTTTGGTCATGGAATATTGTAGCCGAGTTTGGCAGTGATGAAATCTGTGCACTGCAGGCTGTTATATCTCTCTAACGCTCTTCCGATATCTATTATAAAAATTGTTATCTGTAGGCGGGAATATATAAAAAGTAGTTTTTCGTCGATTGTGACCTTGACTTTGACCATAACCCTTCAAAATTTAATCACCTCGAGATCTTTGGTCATGGATCATTATGACCAAGTTTGAGGCGTTTTTGTGTTGAAAATTGTGGCATGTAAGCTGTTCACAGACAGGCAAACACACAAATAGACACATAGACAACCAAATAAACAGGGGCGGAGATAATAAATAATAACATGAAGTACATCCATTTTAAAACATTTAATGTAGGCCTATTATTTTTCAATTTCCTTCTACATAGAGAAATCTAAAGATCACATTTAGTGTCCAGAAGTTCAAAATCTCCTGTAGAGTCCCGGAATAAAATCTCCTGGAAATCGCCGCCAGGAAGGACTCCCGCACTCCCGCGACCAAGCAAAAATTATGATGATATTTTCATGCTTTTACAAGTTTTTACTACTGTATTATAAATTATCTCTCAGAAGTTGTGCCAATCATAACTGCTATCACCATGCACAACAAAATATGTGTTAAAAAAAACTCAGTTAAACAGATCTCCCGGATGTGAATTCTTCCAACTTGGCGGTTTTTAATTACAGTATTTTTTTTCTTCTACTTTTAAAATATATAGCGGTTTTAGTGTATTTTTTACAGACTACATGCATCAAAAACAGATGGTTTGTGTATACAGTGCTCCATATCAAATACCAATAGTGTTTGTAGGACGTTGAAGTTTGTATTTTTCTAATTAAATGGATATTTGGGTAAGAGCGCAGGACGTGATGTGTGGCTACCGAGAAATAATTTATAATTAATGAATCCGTAACAGCACACAGTAATCTATTCTAAAACACTTGGAAGAAAACATTCACACATAATGTTTAATATGTAATGGTTTTGGCATACCCAAATAAAAATGTTCCCTTCAATAAATACATTAAAATAAGCCTATATAGTGATTTTAATGCAGTTTAAAAATATATGATGATTATAAACAAACATCAAAATAATACTCAAAACAAGATGATGTACGGTATTGTGTATACAGTGCTCTACTAGTAGAGGCCTATAGATGTACTTCAACTGATTTCCTCCACCCTGCTTACTATTGTTTATTCTATGTTGTGAGCTAAATTTGAATAAAATAAAAAAATAAAAAGTAGGAGGATGTTGTTATGGTGATTTGTATAGAACAATTGCAGAATTAGTGTGACTACGGGGAAATGGTACAATAAGAATCAATACCAGCATACAGACCAAAATTGCTGAACACCTAAACCCAGGTCCCGATGTGTATAAGAGACAGCATATAAGCCGTAACAATATATA